TTAAAAATAAAGCATCCATAAATAAATTTTCTGAAGTACTGTTTATGAATCAAACATCTAATTCATGGTAAATGATACATGATACATATTGGCTTAATGTTTTAGCAACAGTTTTAGCAGTGTATTTAGAGTAAACACTACAGAATATCATATTATTTGTAAATATATCAAGAATGCATTAAATCAAGTTGTGGTATTATGCTCATAAAATATGCAACGTCTGATCGTGGGAAAAAAGGAAGTATTAGTATTCCACAGAAAAATAACCACTCTGTTCAGTTTCCTTCCTTTTTTAATTACTGAGAAGCTGTGTTCTGCACTGGTTCAGGGAATGAAAACAAAAACAAAAAAATGGGGGGAAAAAACATTTTCACTGAAACATGAATGAAAATGAAATCAAGTTTAATTGTTCTGAACAGAAATGCTTATTTGAAACTACCTTTAATTGGTTAACAACATTTTTTTATCGGTCGGATTAATATTTTAATTCGGCAAATTTCGAAATTTGAAGCAAAAACAGAATGGTCTGACTTTAGATTCGTGAAACTATAATAGCCTACATAAAACATCTTAACGAAACCAAAACAGCAGACGGGCTGAATGAGAAGCAAATTCACTCTATGACAGCAGGTGGCGCTTCTGGAACAGCAGCGATGCATCGTTTCCTTCCTTGGTTACACCTCTGTAAACAAAGCAGCACTACTACTTTAAAATTCATTATATGGAGGCAAGATGAAAATAAAATACCATCTAAACTTTTCTGAAGATAGTCAGTTCCCCTAAAAGATACATTCATATAAACCCCACCCCCAGATTAACATCTCAACTGAATTGAATCGTCACATATTTTTTATCGATTTTCAACCGGATCGGGGTGAATTACATCCTTTATATGTACCATAGCAACATTAGCAGCTTACCTTGTCATTGCTGGTGTTCACGGGGAGCTGGTGTTTGCTGCAAGCTTTCTAAAAGCCGGTTGACAGAGGACGCATATCTTCCATAGCATAGTCACGAGTCTCTTGACTCGGGGTTCCAGCAACATGGCAGACCGAGAGAAATTTAATTTCTGTTGCTTCGTCTTGCCAGTGCTCTCGTCCACCAAATTCTTTCTCTTCTTCGACTCGGTGTCGCCTATTCCAGCAAGAGAAAATAAAAAAATTTTTCTGTGGTGCTGCTGGAATGTCTTGCGGGGTTGGTAAATTCTTAAAAAAAAAAAAAAAAACTAATTTTGCTTCCAGCATGATATTAATAAGGTGTGACTTATTAACATGTACACCTACCCCAACCCTAAACCTACCCTTACAGTAGGATAAATACAGTGTTGGTAGCATAATCTGATAGGTAGCATTATTTGTCGATTTGTGCTACCCTGCCAGATTTTGCTACCTCCCATTAAAACAGTGGCTAGTACAATTCGACAATGAAAAATGCTAGGCCTACCTGTAAAATTATGGTTTATTAACGTCTACACCTACCACAACCCTAAACCTACCCTTACAGTAATGTAAATACAGTAAGTATGTGTTATATTCGCGGTTGTGGCTAGAAGGGATACAGCTACAGGAAACCTACAATAAATATTTTTTTCTACCTATAGTGTTATATTAAAGTTTACATCTACCCCAACCCTAAACCCTTACAGTAATGCAGATACATTATTTACATTTAGATATGTATAGATATTCTAAAAGACTACTTTTTGTCAAGGTTTAGATATTTTTGGTTAGATACATATCAGGTTTTGCATTATGATTACAATAAAATATTAACATTTTGTTAGAAAGGGAACACATGGGAAGCATTTTTGTTACTCAGATATCAGGAACACCTGTTAGGCTAAAATAAGAACAAACACAATAATTATCAAACAGTAATTTGAAGAAAAAGAGGGGGAAAATCTGAATAACCATAAATAAATGTAATTGTAACTATTTACATACAAACTGTAATTATTTTACGCATTGCTGCACATGCAACCGATAGTAATTCAGTGTCTCTTGCACACTGGAAGTTTGCAATTTTGTGTGTGTGTGTGTGTGTGTGTGTGTGTGTGAGAGAGAGAGAGACTCTTTTGAATTTTTTTTCATTTATTCATTTTATTTCACATATTCTCAAAATTTGCTCTGTTGCAGTCTTACCAGTTCGTTTCTCTTTGTGTGTGTGTGTGTGTGTGTGTGTGTATGTGTGTGTGTGTGTGTGCTCTTGATATTTTAGAGTGCCACCCCTTGATTGCTGTGCACTTTTTTTCTGCACAGTGGCTGATTTGTAGTTTGCACCACCAAAAGATTCTCTGAATTTTCGTATTTTTTTGTATTTCCCATTCATTTCCTGTGTCGGTCGGACGGTCGCGAAGGAGCCAAGTGTGACTTTTTTTATTGACCCTTTAACATATCCGAATCATTTCCATGATTTTTTGTGTGTTCACATAGCTAATGCAACAAAAGTCACCAAGTGTCATCTCATTCTGATAAAGCTACGATTTTTAAAAGTTCTAAATATAAAATTTTTGTTCAAAAATGACCGAAGAGGCCCAGAGGGTTAAATCTCTTATGAATGAGCGCTCGCTGTTTACTTTCACTTTCGATTTGGCGATCACTTGCACTCTAAAGGAAGCACATCTTATAAGATCAGATATGTCAATCTGCTGAGCGGCAAATCCTTCAGCATCTGTCAGTCATCTCTCCTTACTCTCGACCCATGATCAGTTAAATCTGACTCCTGCAGCTCGCGTTGGATGCAGGGTTGCCAAGTACGTGTTTTTTTCCCCATGGAATTGGGCTACTGATGCCATATTGATTTCCCCCCGTGGGTTAAAGGTTTGAAATATTGCATAAATTACATTTGACTGAAATGCTTGTAACATTGAAACATTTTGCATTCTACCCATGATAAACTTTAGTAGATGTTAAGTTTTGTGAAGGATTGCCACTGGTAAGACGCCTTTTAGCTTTATGATCATTCTGCATAACAGTGACTGTAAAATATGTATTTTAGGTATGGAAATGACATATTTTGAGTTTGGATATTATATAACCCCCCTCAAACCACCCACAAACCCAACCACCAATCACACAATTATATTCATAATTATATTAATTATTTTACTTTGCGATAGTAAAATTACAATAGCCTATGTCTAAATTTCGTCATTTGCAAGAGGTCCTTGCAACACTCAAGCCTTTCTGTGCAAAATAAGTTCACAAACACTTCTAGTGAAATGCTGGAAATCAACTCAATGTGAAAGCATAACTTGCGCATGTTGCGTTCCTGAAATGCAACAGCACATGCAGAGATGGAGTTCACACAAATATATTTAATTACGCTAACACGTGAAACTGTTATGAAGAAGGAAGCTGGGGGGTTTAGTTCCCTATGTATTTTAGCTAAATTACTAAAATGAAATAGTTGAGTATGCACATTTCACTAAATGGAGGGGGTATATAAATGTAAATAAAGGGAGGGAAATTATAGAAGGACGGGTGAAAACACGCTTCTTGTGAAGAATAACACATAGGCCTGTGCATAAACTAGTGGTAAGTAACAGACAGTTAGTTCTATATGCATATTTAATTTAACTTGTTATTGTTATGCTTAATGCTATTTAAAGTTTTTTTTTTTTAGTTATATCTTTTGTTAGACCTGTGTTATGTGATCTTCATATTTGCTACCACTTTACGTATACATAGTCCATCAACTGATATTTGCGTAATTTGTAAAATGTACCTAGTTAACTCACTAATGTAACTAGCAGTGTTGGGGAGTAACTAGTTACATGTAATGGAATTACATAATTTAATTACAAAATAAATGTAACTGTAATCTGATAAAAATGTGTCATTAAATTGCAGTTACTTATGAAAATGTTAAAGATTACAAAGGGGGTTACATTTGAATATTTTCTCACACACACAGATTTAATTGATTTCTTTCATTGCTGACTGTTCTAAAGTATGAGACAACAAGGTTTCAGGGGTTTAGGACACAGAATAGGACATGTTTATACAATAACTTTTATTTCCTATTTGGGTTTATGTATATGCTTTTTTTTTTTTTAGATTAACTGTTAGATGCCAGTGTTTCCCGTCATAACTATGCAAAGCTTTGATTTCAAAAACAGTACCATAGCTATTAAACTATTTCTTGTTATGATTTTAAATCTGTATTTAACCTCAGAGCAATTTCAAAGTAAAAAGAGGTGCTTTTGTGGTGGCTGTGCTTTAAAAATACATGATTATAATCTTAATTCAAGTGAAGAAGGATTTTGAAAGTCTGACAGTTATCAGTGTTGAGCACTACTGTAAGGTTAACCCTGCCTGCTTTAAATGTTTCAAAAGGATTAACATTTGGAAACATTCGTTAGAATTTTAGAAAAGTAATCAAAAAGTTATCAAATGTAATCAGCTACATTACTTTAGTAAAGTAATTGAAATAGTTGCACTACTTATTACATTTTAAATAGGGTAACTTGTAATCTGTAACCTATTACATTTCCAAAGTAACCTTCCCAACACTGTAACTAGTTAATATAATTCTGTCCTTCAATCCAATCTAATTTTTAATCTAATCCATTAAAACCAAATAAGTATATATTCAGGTGAGTGTCAACTATATAATATTGGATTTTAATCAAATATTTGTCCACAATCGGGCTGTAACAAAAAGTTCAATTTGTGTTCAATTAATGTTATTATTGTTATTATTATTATTATTTCTGAACAGTAACAGTTTTTTTCTGTCGGAGTGGCTTTTCTCCATATTGTTTACAAGGCCTCCTTTTTAGAGGGAATACATAAAGCATTTAACTTCTACAGAAGATCATATATTGTATACTTTTTATACCATCAAATTTAATTTTCTTAAGTGTCAGAAATCCAGAAAAATACGAGGCAAAACAGAGAAATATTAAACACTTCTGTACGTTTCATTCATAAAAACAACCATGAGGTTTTTGTTTTTGCAGAGAACTTGATAATCCATCAATCCTCATCCTCTTCATCATGATGCTGCTTCTTCGTGTGCTGATGCTGTCACTTCTCTCCGGTGGTTCAGCCAGAGTTGTGCAGAATTTTGAGATTGAATGTGGTCAATTTTTTGCAAATGGAAAATCACCAACAACATTTGCTGAACCCCAATACAGGCAGATCTGCCAAACTCTGAGTAATGTTCATTATTATGCCACATTTTATGACACTGGCAAGAAGATTCCCCTGTACTCAGCCTACAAGTTTGAAGGGCTAATGGACTGCACAAGACAAGACAAGTGGTACATTGAACCTCAAGTAAGTGAATAAGTTATGGTATTTTTTGTAACATTACAGTTTTTACTTTTTATATTAATTGGTTGGAGTCATTTCAAATTTACTGATAACACTAACGTCTTTGCTGTTTATCCTTTTAGATTTTGAAAATATTCACAGCTAACATTTAAAGTAAAATAATTAAAAAAAAATTTTTTTTTTAAATAACACTTGTCTTATTTGTGTGTGCCACAATTGCTGGTACCCTATTATGTAATACTTTGTGCAACCTCCTTTAGCTATGATAACAGCTCTTAGTCTTATTTTACACTGTGTCATAAGTTTGAAGAAAACATAACTAACTACATGTATATATAACAGACATTCTGTATGTGTACAGTTACAATGCGCAATAAAAGTAAATCAGATAATCAGATAAATGCTTCTGAAATTAAAGAGAGATTGCTAATATACTTACTTACTAATTACAAAGTGATGTACCGTGAGTTTGTCATTTATCTTGCTGGGATGAAGAACAACAATAGATGTGGCCTAAAAGTGTTTGCCGTATTTTAAACTTTAGCCTACAGAGTCTGCATCATGTATTAGTATGATTTTGTTTCTCTTCTAATGTGAACTGTCCTTAAGCTCACGTTTTCAATTGTTTCACTACTGCAGCTTGACGATAATAATGCATCACCAGACATGAAATTTGAGAAAGATGTGAAAAAACAAGGGCTTGGAGTCCATCAAGCTCTCAATGACGACTATAAGAACTCAGGCTTTGACAGAGGTCATCTGGCACCAGTCTACCAGGCAGAATCACAGAGCTGTGCTGATGCCACCTTCACTCTCACTAATGCTGCTCCACAAAACCTCTCTTTTAACCGAGGTCAGTGGAGGAAACTAGAAGAAAATATTGCAATATTTCTGAACAGTGAATGTAAATTATATACTGTTTACATTGTGACAGGGGTGGTACCAGGTGCAAGTCAAATAAAAAACAGAGTGAATGTGCCTAGTCATTTCTGGACTGCATACTGCTGCTTAGACAACAATAAGAAATGTCAGTTCTCAAAAGGGTTTATTGGAGAGAATAAGAACATTACTCCCAAAGAAAAAACTGTGAATGATTTAAAGACAGAGTTGGCAAAGCTTTATAATGTTGCATCATTTGAGTTGTTTGATCGCTCTACAGAACCTCCAGTGAAGAAACAAAGCGAATCAGAAAACAATGAATATAAGCTCTTTCAAAATAAAGCACCAGTGAGCTATTGTCCGAAAGAGAAATTTTATCAAATGTTTTCTTTGTTGTTATTGTTACTTCTAACTAAATGATTATAATAATTAGCTCAATCATAAAGAAAATCCTTACAAACTCTAGTTTTAATTATCTAATTTTCAATTATTAGATGTTTGACTGTAATTAATAATTGAAACAATTATAATGTGTATAAATTGAGTGTATTATATTACACTAACATGAAATAAAGATTGATTTTTCTTTTTTAATTGAAAAAATATTTTTGGCTCTTTTGGCTCTTTATTGAACAGACATTCATTAAGATTATAACTGATGTTTCGCACATTTCTACTAGTAGATTCTACAGCGTCTAATACTTCAGCTTCATTCATAGCACCCAAAGATAAACTGCAGTGCTTTACAACTATAGGACAGGAAGAGCTAAATAAACTTATCACTGCATCTAAACCAACAACATGCCTGTTAGATCCTGTACCCACTAAATTACTGAAAGAGTTGTTACCTGTAGCAGAAGAACCACTTCTCAATATTATTAACTCGTCTCGCATTTGGCTCCCAAACTCTGGAATAGCCTTCCTGATAACGTTCGGGGTTCAGACACACTCTCTCTGTTTAAATCTAGATTAAAGACATCTCTTTGGCCAAGCATTCAAATAATGCATCTCATAATCTTGTACTGCAGTTATATCTGATCAAATGCACATTATTATTCTTTAGTTTGGGTTTAACAAATCAATTTTGCTTGGTTGGAACAGCAGCTACGCTAATTATGTCTCTATTTGTTTCTCTGTTTAGGATTTACACAAGCTTCAGTCTGGATCCAGAACACCTGATAAGAGATGATGCCAACCCCTCAGAGGACCTTGGATGATGCCAACCCTGAAACAACATACAGAACTACCAAATTTTACTATAAGTTTGATTGCATCATATAATAATTGTTGTTAATAGTGTTCATCGTCTGTTTGATTACGTCTTTAATTGATTTTTCCGTACATTTCTGCCATATGTACATTAACTGACAGTCACCACTGATAAGCTACTACTAAATATTGTAGAAACTTAATTTGCTGTAAAGTTGCTTTGCAACTAACTAAGCTAGCTAATTGCTAAGCCACATCTCTGACACAGTTTAAGTCTCGATTTAACAAATGTATGAGATCATAAGATCATAAAGTTACTGTCACAATACCGCTACTGTGAGGAGCACAGAGCGAGGAACGAGGAGACGTGGAGTAAACTTAAAACAAACAGACTTTAATTAACATCCAAGGAACCAGGAACACACGTGTAGCGAGGAAAGACGAACATTCAGGACCAGACCAAGAACTCAGAACAGGACTCACTATAAATACACCTGACTGGACGAGGGGATGACGAGACACACCTGGAACTAATGAACAATTAACATGGGAAAACTAGGTCAGGGCAGGTACATGGAGTGGGAAAATACAGATAGACACAGATGGACACAGATAGAGTCCATGCGCGTGATATATCGCCCCCCTCCCGGAAGGCACGTCCTCGTGCCGTAGAACAACAGAGGGGGGGCACGGGTGGGAACTTGGGAGGAGGCTCGGGAGGAGGACGGACACCCCGGAGGGGGCCGGCAGACAGAGTCCAGGGAGGTGACGATGGAGGGAGGAGCCAGGGAGGCAACAGGAAGGACTTGGAGCAGGAGGGGCCAAGCAGGACCCAGGCCACAGCCATGATGGCGGCCCACGGTGGAGCCGAC